TATGAGAACTTTTGCTAAAATCATTTAAGTGAAGAAGGGATCTGGGATTGACCCATTTTTTGGTTGTTTTGTTTTTGTTGTTTTTGTTTATTTGAGACAGGGGTTCATAATGTAGTTCTGGCTGCCCTGGAATTTACTAAGTAGAGCAGGCTGGCTCATTTCACAGAGATCTGCATGCCTGTGCCTCTCCAGGGCTGGGATTAAAAGTGTGCACCACCACTGCCAGATTGGGATTAACCCAGTTTATAGTGCTCTAAACTAGAGGGGCGTTTTGTTGTTCTCCCTGAGAACTGGTCATAACCTCAGGCTTACTACATCATCTGTGGAAAAGTCAATGCTACATGTAAACACACACACACACACACACACACACACATACACGCAATTAGTGAATTAGAATGGCTAGGGACTGTGTCATGTTTTAGCTGGAGAGACTGCCATGTTCAAGTCCTAAAGCACCCTGACTCTCCCAAGTACAAGGGCAAGAAGTCCTCCACCCCCCCCCCAAAAAAAAAAAAAAAAAACAGGAACAAAGAAGGGCAGAAATTTGTCCATCTCCTTTCTTCATTTCTGTAACTGGAGGTGTCAGCCCATGAGATTCTGGTTAGCTTTCTATCCCAGGTATAATAAGCATTTTAAAATGCAACAATGTGCTTCTCTGTAGACATTTAGTGATGGCTTTAGTCAAGGTAGACTTTTTTTTTTTTTTAATCAAGTGTAATCTGGGTGCATGCCGTCACACTAAAGGCGGCAGAGGCAAGTAGGTAAACATGGGGCCAGCCTGGACTAGTTTCAGGATGGCCAGAACCACATAGAGAGATTCAGTATCAACAACAACAACAACAAAACAAATCAAGTGTAATTCTTTTATTTTTGAGAGTCATTTTTATTTTTAAGTATGTGAAGGGGCATGAGAGGGTTGTACATGTGGTGCCCATGGAGACTAGGGACTTTGGCTCCTCTAGAGCTAGTTTCAAATAGCTGTAACATGGGTACTAGGAATCAAAGCCTGGCCTTCTGGTAGAGCAGTTCTTTTTTTTTTGTGTGTGTGTGTGTGTGAATTTCACATCATGCACCACAATTTCACTCATCTCACCTTCTCTCCATATTCATTCTCTGTCCTTGAAACTTCCCCTCCAAAGAAAAGAAAAGAAAAGAACCACAGTAACAAAAATCTCACCATGGAAGCATGGTGGGTTGCAGTGTGTCATACAGCATACACTTTTGCCCATACAACTTTCCTTACCAATGTTCATTGCAATGAGTCATTGGTCTGGTTTGCGGCCTCTGGCTTCTGCTTACACCATCAATACTGGGTCCTCACTGAGGCTCTCCTCGGATATCCTGTTGTTGCCCTGTGACATAAAGATCTGCAGGACTGGACCTTCATGTGCTCCAGCAGTTCAAAGATGGGGTGGATGTTGGGATGGGTCAACTGAAACCCCTGGACCTAGGCCTGGATGGTAGCTCACTGCTACCATGAGTAGGCCAGCCTGCTCACTCTCCTGCTCCATGCCAACAGGGGCAGCTCTTCTACTTTGCCTAGGCAAGGGGTGGGGCCAACTCTCCTGCCTGTGGCAGTTGGCAAAGGCCCGACCAGGTTTCTTATCCAGTCAGCTCCTTGGCACCCACACCAGAGCTAGCTCAGCTGACTGCTTGGGTGAAGGATATGGCCAGCTTCCCTGCCTTCTGTAGCCAGTGAGAGGCAGTGCTAGCTCTGTACAGCCTTTGACATCAACATAGCCCCAGGAGGCAGCCCAGTCCAGGGACATCCACGCGGCCTCAGGTTAGAGTGCAGACTACTCACATCAGGTTTTTTTCTCACCACCCTCACTTCATAGTGCACAAACCTTTCTGCTTCTCTTTTTCTCCTGTCTCTCTACCACATACTTGCTCATTGCAGAGACACCGCCCTTCCTGTCTGTGCTGCATAGCAGCAGGTGGCCTCTCAGTTCCTACCTTTTTTTTTTTTTTTTCTTTTCTTTCATTTTACATTTACTAACTTATTGGCATGGTTCATGTAAGCTCCTCAACACCGGGGAATCCACTCCCCCTTCCACCATGTGGATTGCAGCAATGGAACTCACATAGTCAGGCTTAGTGGCAAAAGCCTTTCCCCACTGAGCCATCCAAGCTTTCTGATTGGGGGTCTGTTTCATGGGCATGCTCCATGATAGTCACAGCACCATGGCCTCCCCCGATGTGCCACCACCCTGCAAACACTTTGCTCAGCTTCTACTATTCTGTCTTTCCCTCCTCTCCTCACTCTGCTGGCCATCACCTCCCCTCCATTCCTTTACCTCCCTTCCATATTGTCAAGTAGTCTGATTCCCAAAGAGAACTGCCAGCTGCTTCAGATGTCTTAACAATTTATTCAGTATTTTCTGGACATGTGGTAGAGGACAGTGACTATGTCCCTGATAAAAATGAGTTCTTCCTAGCCAGGCACTATGGCA